GGGGGGTGGACAGGGTGAAGAGGGAGGATGGCGGAAAAGAGGACAGGAACGTAGAAAATGAAAAAAATTCAAAGAAGAATTTTTTCCTTTGCTTGAAGTTTCGATACAAGGAACTTTCAACTGAAAAGCGAACACCGAACTTCTTGACTACGACAGTCCGCGAATTTAGAACAAATACATTTTCAGATCAACGTATCGAAATAAAGATTCTCCATGAAGATATAAACTTACAACTAAATTGCTGCACAATATTTCAATGAAATTCACTTTCAATCCACCTACCGCTTTCAGCATATCCTCAAAACACTCTCAGGGTGCACAAAACACGACTGAACTAGCTTTCTTTTTTAGTTCTGAGAAACAAAGCTGACATTTGAAATCTACGCAGTGTATCCGTTTACACTTTCCTTTAATTTAAAACGAACGTGTTCTTAAAAAGTAGGTGTCTGTCCACTTCATGGTCTGCAGCAAAGCTTCTGTTCTACTCGACAAAGTCTACCACTGAATAAGTAGGGCGACTAACCAATAAACAGTGTATTAATCAACTGCTTATAACAATAATATAATTATGTCATTTATATCGCGCTCAAACCCCAATTATAGTACACACACGGGCTCTGGGTGCGTTACAAGGCAACAGTAACACAAAACTAGTACTTTGTTTTACAAACAGAAATGACTTTAGCTAACAAATGAATAAAATAAAGGATTTGATCTCTCTTAAACTACTTGGCAAAGCATTCCAGATCTTAGGGCCTTGCTATTCTCATGCCCCTTCATCCATTGTTTTAACTTTCATAGATGGTAAAAGAAATTCCCTTTTATCAGCTGATGACCTTAAACTGGAATCCAGGAATGTACAGTTTCAACAGATTTGATAAGTACTATGGAGCGTCATCATTCAAGCATTTGTGACACAGAGTAGAGTTGGGTCGCGAGCGCGAGAACGGAACTGAATCGCCACTCTTCCCTGCGGAACGCGATTCGCGATTCACTTCCACGGAACGCGGAACAGTATCGCCTTCCGATTCCCGATTCACTCCCCTGTCGCTGTCACCACCTTGTTGTTTATTTGTAACCTACTGCTGGGCCGCGAGTCGAGTCACGAGCGCAAGAACGGAACGGAACACTTAGTATGGCTCCCCTTATTTTACAAAAGATGGCATAGTCCAACCCCCCTATTAAAACAAAATGAACGGGTTC